CGGTTGTAGAAAAAAAAAAAAAAAACACATACATATAAATTATAATGTAACGTTACGGTCATTGTCTATATAATTATCGGGAAATGACGTCACGAAAAATCCGATATTTTTTTTTTTTTTTGTTTCCGCACACGGAAACGTATCGTTGAAAATGCGCGTTTCGTTTTGTGCGACGATATTCCAGAGGTTTGCGATCGAACACGATCGGCTGTGTATCGGTTTCTGTTGAATTTTCCCCGGAAATATAACGCACTGCTGCAACGGATTGTGTCTGTTTTACGTGGGCGTATCTTGTCATCTGTACGTTTGTGGACTTTTGGCGGCTCCCTCGGGAGCAAACGGGAACTTGAGGTTATTTTCCCCTTTACGGCGGATTGAAATGATAAAATTTCGGTTGAATTTCAACACGAACTTCGCCGCGTTGTCGCGGGAGAAGGGCGTTTTTTTCCCCAATTTTGTACCTTTCTACACAGACCGTCCAAATAATGCCGGGGGTGCGACATTTTTCCGTATGCACGGTGCCAGCGTGAAGTACGTACGTTTCGGGTGGTTTCAACTTTCAACGCCCCCTCCTCAACCGTTTTAACGCTCGGATTTCACGTTCGCGCGTGTAACGGCGAGGTTCAAACAACCTTACCGACTCGCGAACGTAAGTATAACTGGGTAAAAATGTAAACAAAATATAAATAGAATTGTAGTCGAGCGTGCACTTTTTTAGAAGATTTGAACTTTCAACCTACGATCCTCTTGTTTGTACGTTAGCGAAAATCTCGAGAACTACTTTTTCTGTTTTGATAAATCTTTTTTTTTTTTTATTCAATTACTTATATCATCGTTAAAAAAAAAATAATAAAAAGCACGAAATATTATTACGACAACAATTGGTCGGCTGTGGAAAAATTCGACTCTAGTAACGGAGCTCCGCTCCTCGTGCGCTTTATTTTCATTGCGGTGTAAACTAAATTATAATCTGACTTGTTTACGGCACGTTATTTAGTCCGTTGATAGCAATCGATGCGAATAGCGTTTTAAACTCGGGGTCTGAAACGATATAGGCGTATAATATTTTATTTCTACTGTATGCAGTTATCAAAAACAACAAAAACTCTCTCAGAACGTAACCTCTTATCTGTTTTTTTTTTTTTTATCTCTCTCGATAAATACAAATTATATAGATTTTCATCAATTTTGTTTGTTTTAGGGGTTGTAGTCACCGTTCGGTTTTAAAATATGTTTGCGAGTCGCGCGCGATACATATAGATTATTCTATACACCCGGGTATTTTATTCCGAATTTCTATATGCCTGCCAAAAAACTATAACACAACCCTCTTATACCTACCCCCTTTACGGTTTTATATTTTCACGAGTAACCCTCGCGCCGCCGCCGTAAATTTGCATGACGGTCGTCCTGCCGGTCCCGTCGAAGCAGCAGCTATATAGCAGGGCATTATAAGTATTATAATGTTCGAGGATATTATTAATTTTGTTTTGCAAGCGAACGCCCGACGCTAGCGCAGTTGTTAGCGCAGTAGTTTATTCGGTGTGCAAAAAAAAAAAAAAAAAGGGCGTACATTTTTAATAAATACGATCTAGCGCGTCGTCGTCCGTATAAAAATGTCCGAGAATATCAACAGCGCGTGATATATTATTATAATATGTGCGTCTTAACATGTGTATAGTATTTTTAGACGCTGACGAAACCAGAGGGAAATATATTATATTTAGTTTTTCAACAATTCGTTTATGGTTTTGGCTTTTTCTTTTTTCTTTTTTCTTAGTTTCTTTAAATCGCGGGGAAAGAGCTTCAAAAGTTTCGCTAAGCCCGACCAGTGTATATAAATATATATATATATATGTATATGTACAAAGTGTGAGAGAGAGAGAGAGAGAGTCAAAACATTGTACAAGAACGCAGGTGATGTACTTTGAAGAGATACAATGTTCACGATTTTCTAGGAAAAAAAAATTAAAAAAGTAAAGTGTATTAAAAAAAAAAAAATAAATAAATAAATAAAAAAAAACTAAAACGGCTATAAAATAACCTATAAAGTTTTCGGCCCTCCGTCGTCCGTCCGCACGTTCCGTCCGAATATTTGAACCTGCAATTTCCATTATTGTACATTCATATATTCGGCATAGTTCGACGTGGAATGATTTCTCTATGTGCAATTAAAACAATATAATAATATTATTAATTATAACAGTTTTTAGGGCTGACGTTGGCCCGGTGAACCGATGATTTTAGACGTTTTCGTGACTACCGAATTAAAATTCGAAAGCGCGCGCATTAATTAACCGAACCGTTTTTTACGTTCTCATCGCTGTCTACGTCAATGGTTCGACAGTATACACTTACGTTAAGTATACGCGTAGTAGATCTACAATGATTAAACGAATGTTCGAATTTCGTCTAATATATGGGAATGTAAACGTACTTTTCGGTTCAAGATACGTGATTAACATAATAGTTTTTTAATATTTTAATTGGCATCTAACCGGTAACCGTAAGCCGGTTAAGGTTCCAATGTTATCGAAACCACCGGCGTGAAATCGGTATAATATAATCAAAAAATTACGTAGCGTGCGCGTTTTGCGTTATTGTGACGGTAGTTTTTCGGCGGACGAGATACTGTTTTTCGATATTTATCTATAAGCGAGGGTCAAAAACAGACGAAATTTATGCGTTACAACATATGTATGTGTGTCGCGAAACGCGAAACGTTAAATAGGCAAAAAAAAAAAAAAAACCACCGTTAACCAATAGGTGTGAAATAAAAAAAAAAAACTAATTTTCAAAATTTTGCGGATTTCATAAACAATATGAACGCAATGCCATTGCGAGTACCGGCGATTCGACGGGCGTCGAGTCAGCGTTATAGAACAGAATTTCCGAAAAAAAAAACAAAAAAACATTGTTCAACGTCGTTTCGAACAGACTCGTCGGAAACGTATTAGATCTGTTAACCGCGTTCGTTCGCCACGCGTTACACCGCGTACCGCCGACTTCACGCCCGACGGACGCCGCCGCGGAACCGTTTCGTTGCACGCGCGCGCGGGCTCCGCGACGCGCGCCGAGAAAGTTTCGACGGCGTCCAACAAGTCCGTTAGAAATGTTCGCGGGAACGTTCCGGTAACGACGTCGCGTAAGTGCGCGCGCGCCGGGACGGGCGAACACCCGGCGGAAAAGTTTTCCGACAAGCGCGACGTTTTTATTCGCGGCCGGGGCGCACGCGTTTTGTAAAGAAGTGCCGGGGAAAACGCCGCGGCGCCGCGTCGGCTTTCGCGCGGGGACGCGGCGCGAGAGCGGCCGTCGAGACGCGCGCTCTTTGTCGCCTCCGGGCGGGAACACCGAGAGAAAACGCCGCCCGCGGACACGGCCGAGAAATCGGAAATCGGCGACGGCGGTCTCCGACTCGGAGTTCCGACGACCGTGCATCGCGATCGCCGGGGTAACATTTTAATTTCGCGGCCGTTGTTTACGCCACGTGCCCGCGCGTGTGTTCAAATCGCAAATATCGTTTTCCCCGAGTTTTTCAACTTTTGAATACCGCGCGCGTACGGGACGCGGGGGGGGGGGAGGAAAAAAAACGGAACGAACGACGTATTATTATTATTATTATTATTATTATTGTTGTTGTTGCGCGCCGGGGAAAGGATGTCGGCGTAATATTTGGGCAAACATCGCGGGCGCGCGGCATTCATTTACATCCTCTCCGCGACGGCGGCGGCGGCGGCGGCGGCGGCGGTTTTTTATTGCCAGTATTGATTTTATTTCCCGCATGACTAATCAGAATTAGAAGGATAAATTGAACTCCTCCCTCAACGATGCAATGTTACAAATCCCTTGAGTTAAACTGCGAATTTAAAGTTTCGATCCGGCACACGCGTAGTCCCTTCGCCCGCGCAGTCGGCCGTGCGGTACCGCCGCCGCCACCGCCTCCGCCTCCGCCGCCGCCGCCGCAGCCACTCGTACCAACCGATTTATAGTTTTAAAAAAAAAAAAAATATATATTTATGTTGCGACGGCCGCCCGGCCGCTTTTTCGTAACGTTTCCGCGGCGCGGATTCCGGGTTTTTTTTTTTTTTTATTATTTTCTCCGCGCACGGTTTATCGCGACAATTACGTATTAGGCGGGCGTTCAGTACCCGACGGAGTCGTCGGGACCCCGCGGGTTTTGACCTTTCGCGTATCATAATACACACCGGGTACCTGTACTCGCGCCGCGCAAATGCCAAAACCGAACGTAACGTACGGGTACTTATTATCGTTATTATTATTATTGTACCTATACGCGCGTTTTTGTTTTTTTTTTGACCTTTTTTCCTTAACCCCTTTTCCGTCCGGCCCCGTGCTCGTTATATATTTATACGGTCGGAAATCTCGAAGGCACAACACTCGAACCTGCAGATTGAAAATCGTCGGCCGCGTGTATCCAATATAAGGGTTTATTGTTTGTTTTCGTATACCCGTACTGTATATTATTACGCGGGCGTATACATAGCCAAGCGAATTTAATAGAATACGAATCGCATACGGTTCTGCGGCGGAGACGAGTACCTTCTGGCGGATATAATAAAACAAAAAAAAAAATCGGTTTTCCGTTGTAATACTAAAAATACCTTACGCGAAAGTAGGTAAAGTTCGCGCGTACCCAAACATAATAACGTAACGACGTCTTGATTCGCACGCGTTACGGACAGTACATGCACGTCGACAACCATTCGCCATACACGTAAACCACCGGCGGATACTTTCCGTCATCAGTGGCGGTTTAATGCCGCAGCGCCATTGTGTGTCCCGGGACGCAGAGAGGGTTTTTAACCGTTATCCCGGGTGAAATTATGTCGCAATAAACGAAACGACATCGCGGCGAAGGGTCCGCGTCCTCGCCGCGAACGTAACGATAATAATAATTACGGGTGAAAAAAAAACCAAGAAGATCTACGAAAGATCCACGCGAAACGCACGATACCTGCGCGCGCGGTATACGCGCCGGGCAGGAGGTAATAACGCGCATTGTTATAACGTGAAAAATATCGATCGTCTCGCCGTTACATCGTTAACATCGCGTTTTTTCTGCGGAAAATTAGATAGACCGCTCGGATTTCGCGTACAAACCTCCCCGCGTCCGTGTATCGTAACAACACGCGCGTTTATTGTTATTATTTTTTTTTTCACATATCAAACGCGCGTAACGTGTTTCGCTCGGAATCGTCCGTCGACAGTGTACAACGACCACGACGCCGTCCGTGCACGCGCGACGTACGAGTTTTTCGCGTCGCGTTTTCGTCGAGCCGCGAAACGTCGACGCGTAGCGACGAGGGTGCGACTATTTATTGCACCGACGTCGGACCGAGTTTCTCGGGTTCGTTTACCGGCGGTACGCGTCGTTTTGTCCGCCATCATTGATAATGTTGTTATCGCGCGCGGAACGTCCGTTTAAAGAGGGGGGGGCCGTCCGCCGGGGGGTTCGGAAAAAAAAACGTTCGGAAAAAAAAAAAAAACAAACCGCGACCGACGAGCGTTAACGTTTTGTCGCGGATTTTCCGCGGGACGTCGTCGCGTCCGTGCCGTTTCTGGATTTCCGACGATAACGCAACGTGTAAACTGTTTTATTGCGTTTTATACACCCGTCTGTCACTGGCCGGACGGATACACTATTTCGAACGGTATTGCCGAGCGGTTCCCCCGGGACCCCGAACGAATTCAAACGCGGAAACCGGAGTTGTTTTTCGCGCGAATCGACGAGCGCTAGACGTTGCTAAAAAAAAAAAAAAAAAAAAACGGAAGGTGGATTCGGCGGATTTCGGGGTGGTGGGCGGGCACGGGATGTTTTTTGTATTTTTTTTTTTTCTAAACACCCTAATGAAGCTCAAAATATTCCGCCGCAGTTCGCGGACGTTCCAGAACGTCCCTTTCAGGGTTTCAAAATTTAACCTACCCCCCGCCTTCTCCCCGAGAATTTCCCGTCGAAATGTAACGATTTTTAAAATTTACGAGCTCTTTTTTTTCAATAACGCACAACCGTGTTAAAGTTACGGAAACAAAACGAAACGTAAAATCCGTCGGAGGAATTCGGCTAATAAATAAAGCCGCCGGAACTCGCGCGGTGCGGCCGATCACGCGGGTATTTATTATTTTTTTTTTTTTTCTAATTATCGAATTCGCTTTCACGCGCTCGAGTGGATTTTTAAAGGACTCGCTGATCGTTGTATTGGCAACCTTTCGCCGCGGTGAAAACCGCCGTAAAAGCCTTTCGCAAATACGCGCGGCGCACGCTCGCCCACGCGCGTACAAAACAACAAAAATGGCCGCGCGTTACGCTCCGCAGTGATGCTGGGCCGGTGGTGCTGCCGTAACAGTAGTCTGTGCATATATATGTGCGTATAAATATATGTATAATATAAACCGCGAAATAATTTTTGAATGTATACGAAGGATTTTAATAACGAACAAGGTGTAACGGGAGACCATTTTAGATTTTAATGCGATTATCCCTATGGCAACACAGCCGACGATATTCGCTCCGCATGAAACTTTTAATGCTGCATAAAAGGGTGGCGGTCGAGGCGCGCAGGAGTTGGTGCCGGGGGGGTGGGAGAGGGGACGAGGGCGGGGGAAGGGAGACGGATGAGAACCAGAGGGGAGGGCACGGCGGCGGCGGCCGCGGCGGCGGGGACGGTTGTACAGTGTGCGCGTGTACACGTATACGCGGGGGTATAATGGGGGCTAGGGAGTGAGCGACGACGAGGAGGCGAGGGCTCCTCCGGTTTGATTTCCACCCCTGCTTTAGCGCGCGCTGCAGGAATTCTCTCTTCCGCCGAAAATATACCTATAATAATTTTTATTACTACAATATTATATATGCACGCGCGGACGGTTTTCCGGGAGTCTTTTTTCGCTTTCCCCATCGACCCTCCCCCTCACCGACGGTCCGTCGCCAAACAGTCGTGTATACGCGAAATACAACCCTCTTTTCCCGCGCCGCGGTACCAATGTTATTATATTGTATTCTGTATGAATTTCGTTTTTTTTTTTTTTCACACCGCGATAACGTGTTAAAAACATTTTTTTCGCTTTCGGAAATATCGTCTAATTAAACCACTGCCGTGCACGGATGGCCGTGGAAATACAATTTTCCGAGTCGGTACCTATTTTAAGATTAAAAAAAAAAAAAAAATCGCATTTATTCGTCGACCGTCGTTATACGGTATTTAACGTCGAAATATAATATCATCTCGGTCGGAAAATTCGGTTGTTGTAAAAAAAAAAAAAAAAAAAAAAAAAAAAAAACAAGAGGAAACACATTAACTCTTATCCTTGCAACGGAAATTCCAATTATTTACGTACACCGGCATATTGCATCGCTAAAAAAATATATAAAGTGCATAATAACTCGAAAAATACGATTTTCGACTTATTAACCTCCGGAATATGCGGAATTTCATCCTTGATGGTTTTGTACGCTCGGATTTTTTTCGTTTATTTAATATTAAAGACAGTACGAGCAGCTAAAATGTCTTTATTTTTACACGATATTTTTCCGCCCGGAATATAATCACATCTAAAAAGTGACAATTTCCCGCGGGAAAAATTATAGAACATTAAAACATTAAAAGTCGATTTCCTGACATTTTCGTATTTTTCTTTGCGCCATTAATGTTTATTCTTTCGGGGTCGCGGTATACGATTAAAAAAAAAAAAAAAACATGCCCGTAACGCAATAAAAAACGGGAAAATTAACGAAATGTATCATTTCCAAATCGTATGATATTACGGCTTTTCAAAATGCGCTGTACAACCGGACTCCGTTCAGAATCGTTTTTCGTCGGCAAAAATTAATTTCCTCTCCATCTTCCCGACTTCTCACCTGTATAACTGCAGCAGCCCGCCCATCGTGCGAAGTCCGTTTATTTTGCTTTTGAATATGTTTCTATGAGTGATTATTTCAACGCCTACAAAAACCGGCTTATCGAGCTTTTCAATGGCTTATAACGAAGTTTTTTCATCGATCATTTCGTAGACGGGGGAAAATAAAACCAAACCAAACAAACTTCGGTTTTCCGTGTCTTCTCGACTATTATAATCCATCGTATTCGCGTACTTTGTGCTAAATTCAATGTTGTGCAATAGTCGATACTGGTTGTCATACTACTGTAACTTCGTGATAAATAATAATAAAAAAAAAAAAACTATTTTATCTCGTTCGCGCACAGAAACGAGTTCTCTTTTACAATATACTTATATATATATATACGGTTGAAAAAATTCGTTTAAAACTCAAATCCACGGAGGAAAAAAAAAATTTCGAAAGTTAACAATTTCGTCCCGTAAAGAAATTGTGTCTACCATATGATATACATGTATGCGCGTATACATAAATATTATAATCTCTCGGGTATTTTTTTTTTTTTTTCTCTAAAGATATCTATACCTACACGTCACACACGACTACATTCCTATATAATACATTATAAGTACAGTTCAATTTTGCACGGGTGGATCTTTGGCATTTGTTCAAAATATATATTTATTTTTTTTTTTCTTCATACTCACCTATACCCACGAAGAGAGGTTTTGACAAAATGAATTATTGATAAAGGTTATTAATATTTTAATACGTACGCGTTCGAATAACGTGCGTATAATATTATTTACAGATTAACGACTCTGCAGTCTGCAAATAACATTACCTATTTCACATCGTTCTCTATTTTTATTATTATTATTTTATTTTTTTTTTCAGTTTGACGCGAAAATAAAAACGAGTTTCTTCGCTGTAAAAGTTATTTATGCCGTGTTAATCGTTTTAATTAGAAGAAAAAAAAAAAATCCGATTTTGCACAGACCCCAGTATTGTTACCGATTTAATAAAAATCGGTAACGAAATTATTTCATTAAGTGCGTCGCGTTAAACACGACATTAATATTACTCGCGACGAAGTAACGATTTCTTTAGTATCCATTACCGAGAACGTTATCACGCCATTATGCGGAAAATACATAGGTAACACAATGAAATAATCGCATTATAAAACATTATTATCATCCGTTTTTTCCGCAGCAACCGTTAATAACGTAACGCAGTAGCCCCGCCCGCCGCGTTTGAAAATACATTTTATTGTCAGTATCGTTTTCCGAGGGATATCGTTAATAATAGATTCGGGGAAAGAAAAAAAAAAAAAAATGTAATTTCGTATACGATCAAATTCTGCCCGGCGCGAGTACGAGAGTATAACACTTTTTTTCGGGACTTTTTTTTTTTTTTTGAAATTCTCAACGGTTCGCCCGTTAATAGATCATCTTTTTTGTGTTGTCTCGTAAAACGTTTTTTCCGGTCGCACATTACAACGAAAATGCTCCGAATTAACCGTTGAAAATGCGGATTAACGAAAGATCGCGACCGCAGACGACAGCGATACATCGGTTTTATAGCGGCTATAGCGCGTCTCATTACCGTACCGGTTCACCGAGCTCAGAATAGTTTTTTTCTCTCTCTCTCTAAATTATCGCGACGGTCCATCGTCGCGCATACGTTTCACGGTCCCGGGGGAGTCGATTTTCGGTACGTCGATGCATAAGAAAAACTCGTTCACAAACTGATAACATTATTATTCGTAAGTATAGAATTGAACCGAGTCGTTTTTCTGAAGCGATCTGTTTTCTTTCGAACGACCGTCGCTCGGTTCGTTCGTAAATAAACTCGAGTACGTTTGAAGTTTATTGGTATTTCGCTAAACCGACCAATAGTCTCGGTGACTTTATTAAAATATATCGTACCGCACGTCGTGGTCGCATGTGAAGTGTATAGCTACGGGTACGTATACTATTTCAATTATCTCAAGAGAGGACGTCGCCGAGAGAATTCGCCGTCTCTTTATTTCAACAACGAGCGGTATAACAAAACGTCTGCGTCGCCCATACTCAGAATTTAAACCGCGCGTTCGGTTCGACGGCGAAATCGCTCGGAATACGTTCCCGGATTCTCAGCGCGCCCGTTCGGAATTAAAACGGACGGACCGGTTACAGTCCGCTGTCGCGTAATACGCGAAGAAGCTCGTAAAGTTCGGTGCCGCGGCGCTTTTCGCGAAAAGGTTCCCGGACCGACGATAATGATGGTAAAAAAAAAAAAAAAAACAATACAAATAAAAAATATATTCGATTTCTACACCGGCCGCGCGCAATGGCATTACGAACAAAAATCTATTATGACGGGCGGGCGCGCGAAATTATTACGAGCGCAACGGCGCGAATGGATTTATCGCGGGAAAATCGTCCGTCCAAAGGCGACGGTGTAACGAACACACACACGTGACATTGTGCGTTGTGCGAATAATGAGAGTGGTCGACGTTTGCACTTTTATATTTTTGTCTGATTGAAAACGTGGCTTTTGTTTTCTTTTCTTTTTTTTTCCCCATTATTTTTGGACTCGGGAATTTTTTTTTTAAATTTACCTTATTCAAAAACATCGGTTTTACCGCGAATTCAAATGTGTCTTACCAACACACCAGGTACACTGTGGTAACGAAGTACCGTACTGATAACGACGCGTTAATAACGTTTATCAATCCGAGCCATACGATAAGGCGTGAATTCGGTCACAGCGTTAACACGCCGAACCCGAAACCGGGTAAGACACGTTTTGAATACTTTTCAATTTATTGATTTTTAAACTCAATTCGTGAAGAACTAAAAAGTCAGAATAAAAAATTAATTTCATTTATGAGCTTACCACGTTCATTACAATAAGATTCGTGGATTTGATCAAACATTTTTTTTTTTTTTTTTCGACAACCCCCATTAATATTAAAATATTATCGCGGTACAATACGGATTGTCATTGTACTATAACAATCGTTAATCTTTTCTCGATAAACCCGATGAAAATTAATGCGCGGGTACCAAAGTTCTACAAGGATATTTCCCCCCTAACCCTTCCCAGTGGCGTGGCGCAACGGAGGACTGAGTTTAGGGATCGTGTCTTTCTCCCCCACAGGCTTGAAAACACCGAAAAAAATATAAGTAGTTTAACATCGATATGCATAATATTATTATTCAGCCGAGTTACGAAGAAAAGCTCGACGAATCGATTAGAAATTGGCCATTTTTTTGGGATCCGGCTTTTAAATCGTTACCGAGCCGAGCCGGGTAGTGAAGACGGTTTTTACTGTTCTTGTGTGCTCTACATCCGCTCCCGTCGAAAATTCGGCCGACATTCTCACATTTATTTATCGGACGTGCGCACTGTCAGCGAATGGCTATGGTGCATACTTAAAATAGTTATGAATTACGACGCGCAATAAAATATCGAATACGCCTATATTGTACGTTCGCGTTCGGTTTTCCGCGGAACAACCGAGCCGGAAACATGTATAAACAATAGAATTCGAAAAATCCGCAACAAACCCGGTACATTACGGTACATCGGTCAATTGTCTTGTAACTGCACTGCGGCTAGGCGCGTGAGCGATAAACGGTAACTCCGTACAGACGACACGTACGTGTAATAACGAACTGTCGAAAGGTTACTATTTTTTCCGACCTTTAACTGTGTTAACGATATCACAACCCGTTGAAGTCCGTAAACGCCGGCGTTCGAAACGTACGGGGTTTGTAATCGAACAAAACGCATGGCGAACCTCCACGCGCGCGCCCAACAGCCGTTTTAAAACTCGCGTTTCCGGTATTGAACACCGTTCGCGTCATTTCGTACATTTTGTGACGATAGCCGCCGGTGTCGCCGACACTCAAACAGATTATTTCCGGAAGGTTCGGAGCCAATTCTTCCAACAACACCGTCCGCGAAAGCGCGGGGAATAGTAAATGAAAAAAAAAAAAAAATTAAATAAATAAATAAAAAATAACCCGACGCGTCTTATATAACGAAATCCGTCGTCGTCGCCGCCGCGAACGGACTGCTAATTTGCGATGCGGGAAACCTGCAGCGGTCGAGACGACGACGACGTATTTTCCACAGAAAAAAACCAAAACAAACAGTAACGATGATACGTACACGCGGGTTTTCGTTTTAGAACGGCGTTGAAAAACGGATAAATAAAAAAATATAACAAAAACGGTCGGGTATAGAGGCGCCTTTTTTTTGTCCGTCGCGCCGACCGCCCACGGCCCGTAAAGCAAACGATAGCGTTTCGCAAAAGACGCGGCGAGTTGTTGACCGGGCGACGAGCGTTTTGTTTTTTTTTTTTTTCATTTTCTCTTCGAAACGGTATGCTATACAGGGTGTACAGGTACTTAGACGAGACCCGTTTACGGGCTCGCGCGTGTAGACCGCGGACGACGGCGGGACGGATAGCAGTGTTTCGCCGGGCGATTTATGTAAACGACCATTAACGTTATTTCGCACGTCGCGACCATACAGACCATACGCATATGGACGGGACGTTCGTCCGGGGCCGGGTGGAAGGGCTAAGGAGATTATAGCCCCCCCTCCCACATTGGCCATGTTTTTTTAATTTTTTTTTTTTTCGGCTATTCAAGCGATGTTCATTGCAACCGTATTCCGCGGTGGTCCGTACGCATTATTACTTTCGCGTTGTATAATTTTTATCTAATATTAAATCAACACGCACACGTGTATACGGTTTGACAATTTTGAATAAATCTGTCACTATCTACACAGGCAACACGGGACGCAAGCCTCCCCCCTCACAATAGAAAACTCCCGACTACGCCACAGGTCCGGCCGAATCGGCGCGCGGTCGGTCCGAACGGACCAAGAGAGACGAACCGATGGACCGGGGTGTGGGATAGAACCGATTTGCATTTCGAAGACGGCCAATTAAAAAAACTCTCCGTCCGTTATCTCGTAGTACCGTTGCACGCTTGACACTGTCATGCGGTCCTCGGAACGAAGCTTTATCCGCCGGAACGCCATCTCCCGCCGTCTATGTACGGGTTATAAATACGCGAAATTTAGATTAGGTTAGGTGGTATACGCGCGCGCCGTGAAGGCGGGATGCGACGAGAAATTTACGAAAAAAATGAAATGCAACAGCGTATACGTGTGTCGCGTGCAACAACAATGGAGTGAAAAAAAAAAAAAAAAATTTGTCCGACCTGTCGCGGGTCCCTCCGGTTGCACGCGGCTCGCCGGGAGCCTGTGTGGCGGTATTTCG